AATGCCCCGTTTATTGTGCTCAGGAGCAGCTCAGATAAGGATCCTTAGCCACACATAGCACTCGGGATCTTTCAGCTGTAGGTCTTATCAGCCTGCCATCAAGGCCTCATGCTTACAGAAGCTGCAGGCACAGGTGTTTTGCTCAGTTCACTCCAGCAAGCAAAGGGTTTGAGGCCGGCAAAGAAAGGGGGGGGGATTTATAGCTCCCAACAAACCACCACTTCCCAACCCAAACCCCTCCATAGCTGGGTACCTCTCCCTCCTAAGGCCCCTTCTCCATTCATACGCTGACAGTTATCTCCCTGCCCCCACACCAACAGATCCAACTGCTCCTGAGCCTGCCCTGTTCTCCTCAGGGGATCAGGTACTAAGTCACTAGAGCCCCAGTGGACAGGACCCTACACTGTGATCCTTCAACTGCCAAGCTCCTGGTACATCAGTGCCAGTACTACCTCTCCTGGCTCAAGCAGGCACCTACCCAGGATAAATGGTCTGTCCAGCAACTGGGACCCTCCACTCTCGGGTTTTTCAGAATCTCCCAATGAAGGGTTTATCTGCTCTTGTGTCTTGCTCATTCACCTTTGTCTGCTTTGCACAACCAGGGCACACCTATGCTCAATTCTTACTACAGATCTTTACTCTTCCCATGGCTAGAGCCATCTTTTTCTCCTAGTAACTTGCCTTCTCCACTTCCTCCAAGAACAGATTCCCGAGGTCTCCAGGATAGCAGTTAACTTAATGCTTCTCCCATACTTCCTGCTGAGTGTGAGTCTAATGTCTCCTCTTCCCCACATCGTCCCACGCCAACAGGAAGTAGGTGGATTTGAACCGGCGCCCATATGCCCAAAAAAGTTGAGACTTCCATCTTTCTCCCATGAAAGCCCCATCCATTTCTCTCTCTCCAAACCCCACCATCTCAAACAATCTGCAAAAAAGAAAAACCACCAAAAAGCCCAGTTCTACAGCTACGGAGGCCCCTCCCTTAAAGTTGCCAGTGACCCAAATCCCCACCCAAAGTTTTTTTTTTTTTTAAATATTTATTTATTTATTATGTATACAATATTCTGTCTATGTGCATGCCTGAAGAGGGCACCAGGTCTCATTACAGATAGTTGTGAGCCACCATGTGGTTGCTGGGAATTGAACTCAGGACCTTTGGAAGAGCAGGCAATGCTCTTAACCACTGAGCCACCTCTCCAGCCCCCAAAGTTTTATAATCAGGCACAAACCCAGTTTGTGGCAGACATATCAACAACCCTAGCCTACAGAGTACATAAACAGCCTGCTTTAGTTAGGCCATGTGATTTTCCCCTGTTCCTTCTCCCGCCTTGATATCTGGGGCCTGGAGGACTCGCCCGGGAGTAGCTTTGTTCAAAATAAACCTGCTCTTTTACTTTTTCAATTTGGCTTGATTTGGTTTATTGCATCAGTGGAGAAACCTATTATAGCCTATTACAGAAAACCCATTACCTACTCCTATAGCTTTCTTGCACAAACTGTATTTTGTGAGTAGAAATAAATCCTTTCTGAAACTGCTTTTATTAGGTATTTTGTTGCACTGACAAGTAATAAGAACAACATGCTTAACTGTTTATTTGCATAACTTTGTTGAAATGAGTACTTTAACCACTCCCCCACCTACCCACCCCTGAGAACAGGTTTCTTTGTGTAGCCTTTGTTGTGGAATAATTTTTTTGTAGACTGTGAAGATGTGTCTCTTGGATCGATTAAATAAAAAGCTGAGCAGCTAACAGTTTGGCAGGATTTTCTGGGCAGACAGGATACTGGGAAGAAAGCGAAGACACCAGAACATGACATACAAGAGATGAGGTAACAATCTATGAGCCGTGTGGCATCACTTAAATGAATAGAAATGAGTTAAGTTATAAGAGCTGGTTAGAAATAAGCCTATTAGCCAGGCCTTCATAATTAATAAGAAGTCTCTATGTTGTTTATTTGGGAGCTGACTGGCAGGACAGAAAAACTCACTATAAGCCTTGGGTGTCCAGGAACTAACTCTGAAGATAGGCTGGCCTGGAACTCACATCCAAGTGCTTCTGTTTCCTGAGTGCTGGGATTAAAGGCATGTGCCTCCACTGCCCAGCCACCATTTTTGTATATGTTATGTTACATGTATGTGAGTGCTCATGCCTGTGCATACATGCAGAGATCAGATGTCAGAGATCCTCCGCACTTTCCATCTTATTTCCTTAAGATAATGTCTCTCATTGAACCTGAAGCAAGACATGGCAGCCAGCAAGGCTCTGGCTCTCCCTGTCCCTGCCCACCACAGCATTAGGATTACAGGCACATTTATGGACACTTCTACCTACTTATGTGGGTGATGAGATCTGAATATAGGTCCTCATGCTTGCTCAAGTACTCTTAGCCACCAAGCCATCTCTCTAGCTCCTCAGTGCATCTCTTTAAACTATTCTAGTTGTTACATGTTCTAGATACTGATCCTTTTTTAAGTAGATGTGCCCTTTTATTTATTTTGGGACAAGGTCTTACTGTAGTTCAAATTGGCCTGGAATTTATTCTGTAGGCCAGGCTCATCTTCAACTTATGGTGGTTCTTCCATCCGAAGCTAGGTTTGCAGGTGTGTACCAACACTTTAAATAAACCTTTTTTTTTTTTTTTTTTGCTGCCTTTTCACTAAATTAGGTGTACGTTTGCATGTATTTACTGCAGATACACAAGTACTGGTGCCTGTGGAGGTCAGAAATGTCAAATCCCGGGCTGGAGAGATGGCTCAGAGGTTAAGAGCACTGACTGCTCTTCCAGAGGTTCTGAGTTTGATTCCCAGCAACCACATGATGGCTCACAACCAGCTGCATGAGATCTGGTGCCCTCTTCTGGCCTGCAGACATATACACAGACAGAACACTGTATACATAATAAATAAATAAATCTTTAAAAAAAAAAAAAGGTCAAATCCCCTAGAACTGAAATACAGATGTGATCTGCCAAGTTGAATCCAGGCTCTCTGAAACAGCAGGCATCATTCTTAGCTGCTGTGCCAATACCCAGCACATTTTTCATATTTGGCAGTATCTTTTGATATAGGCTTTGTTTTTTTCCCATTGAGACAGGGTTTCTCTGTTAACAGCGCTAGCTGTCTGGAATTCCCTCTGTAGACCATCTGCCTGCCTCTATCCACCACCCTCCCGATTCCCCAGTGCTTTGGATTAAAGACATGCACCAACCATACCTGGTTGATACAGGTTTTAATCTTAATAATTTATCAGTTTTTTCATTTGCTGTCTGGGCACTTCCTATCCACACTTAAGAAACAACCATTAAATCCAAGATCATGAATATCTCCCACTTGTTTCCCCTTCTAAGGATTTTATAGAATCGGATTCAGGACTAAGAAGAAATGGCCCATTAAGTCAGAGAAGCTGTTATGTAAGCACGTGGACCTGAGACCCAATACCCATTGGCATGGCTGTGCATACGCTTGTAATCCTAGCATTGGGATGGGATTTGGGGCAACAGACAAGATTCAGCTTGCTGTTCAGCCAGCTTAGTCAAATCCCAAACTTCTCAAACACCTTGTCTCAAGGCAGTTACGGTGGCTTGTGTTAAGAGAAAAACACTCAATATACTTGATCCCTCTAGGGTGCCCTATGTCAGACATACACACAGGAAGTCACCATTTTCTGCAGGATCCATTTTGGTGGGGGGGGGCAGTGTCCCACTTTGTAGCTTTTAACTCTGTTGGCTAGTACACATATGTATGTGGAAGCCAGAGGACACCACCAGTGTCATCCTTAAGCACACTATCCACACTGACAGGGAGGTAACCCACAGGCCTGCAGCTCACCAATTAGGCAAAACTGGTCATTGTTCCCCTAGCACAGTTCAACTTTCCTAAGACTGCAACGTTTTAATGGTTTCTTACATTGCGGTGATCCCCAACCACATTGTTTTTGTTGTTAACTTCTAACTTTAAGTTCGCTATTGTTATGACCTGTAAATGTCTCCCAATGGTCTTAGACAACCCCTGTAAAAAGGTCATTCAATCCTCTAAGGAGTCACGACGCACAGATTGAGAACCATTGCCAATGTAGCTCCTGTCTCACTTCCCCAGGTTGAGCCCAAATGAGGTTGTATGGATTTCCCACTTTCAGTGATGTTGTGCATTTTCAGTGTTGGGGACATTTCTTCTGGGTTACCAACATTAAACCGACTTTGTGAGAGGCCCTGCCTTACTAGAACCAGAAAAAGAACTGTTGATGGAGAAGACACTCAGAACAGGAAAATAACCCCATTGTGTTATTTTTGACAAGAACTTGTACCAAACATTCTTTTAATTGTTAATATAGTTCAACATGCTCATGAAAATCAAAGGGCAACTTGTTGAGGTGATCAATCCTCCTATCTGGAGAAGAAACTCGGGTTCAGTATTAGAGGCAAGTGCCTTTACCCACTGGGAAATCTCACCCATCCACCAAATATACTTATTTAAATAAAAGGGCGATGTAGTGGAGAAATGGGTCAAAGAATCTTACAAAAAACACAAGTTGGAGTTCCAGCAGATCTCATGCCCTCTTCCATCTGTGTGCACCCACAAGCTCATGGTGCAACACACACACACACGTACATAAACATTCTTGTTTTTTGAGACAGGGTTTCTCTGCGTAGCCTTGGCTGTCCTGGAACCTGCTCTGTAGATCAGGTTGGCCTTGAACTTAAGAGATCCACCTGCCTCTGCCTACTGAGTGTTGCAATTAAAGGAATACACCACTACAGCCCAGCAACATCAAAAAAAAAATGTGTATGTCTGCATGTGTGGCATGTTTCTTGATAAAACGTTTTAAACAGAGGCTGCTGAGTAGACTCAGCATTTAAGAGCACTTGCTACTCAGGCCTGAGTTCAACCCCAGCACTGCATGATGGTCCACAACCATCCGGAACTCAAGTTCTAAGGGATCCAATGGATACCAGACATGCACATAGCACACACACACACTCAGGCAAAAAACTCACAGACATAAAACAAAAGAAACCTAAAACATTTTATTAAGATTTTACATGACAGGTGTTTAGCCTGCAATACAAGTCACACCCAACTAGCTTCTCTGGCAGGGCTTTCCTATGGCTGCGTATGTTCATGCACTTTGGGGTTAACTCTCACAGGCAGCACAAATTCTGTGCGAGTGGTCAGGAGCAGTGTGACAATTTTAGCCAGTGATGTTCATAACAAAGACTCTGGAACTTGTATTTCCAGCGAGCAATACTTCTCACAGTAGACTACTTTTGGACATTCCCAGGCCTGGGATGTAGCAATATGAATGTCATCTTCTGGATGAGCAGTAATTCCCTGCCCACACCAGGTATAAATCACACTGAATGAACACCATACACTTTTAGGTAAAATGTTCCAAAGATCAAATTAATGAATGAGAGAAACTTGGTTCAAATTGCTTTATTTCCATCTTTAACACTAGCAGGAGTCCAAAACAGACTGATATCCATGAGCATAGTTTAAATGTAACAAAGAGTTAAACTATATACATTAAGGAAAAAGGAAAGGGATTTTTCTATACCAACCTTTTCCTATTAATTCAGCTTCTGATTAGTAGAACTATAACACATATTTTTCTCAATTTAATTTAGGATGAAGTAATAGAACTTTTATGATCAACTTCATAAACCATCTTTAAGGAAATAATGAATTTTTAAGTGGGTGTCACCATATTTACTGGTGAACTGGCTGCATGGTCACCTTGGCTCCTTTAAGTCTGGCTATCATTAGAACTAACAAGAGCAAGTCCATGAGGCCCACAGGGAACTCAATGGCTGTGACATCCAAGGGGAGGGCACACTCCACACATTACAATGATGAGAGCTAATGCTCCTACCCTCTGAGTCCATGTAAAAAAATTACTACTCTCATTAAAACTAACTGGAAGTCAAACAGTTTAAAAAGTCAGAGTAAAGAATAAAACTATCTTCTTTTCACATAGAGGAGGGACACTCCTTCAGCTCCATTTAAAGTGAGTTCTGTGCTGAGTCCCTGCTCCATCAGAATAGTAAACTGAAAGTCAGTTATTGCTAGCAAAGCTCCAGTGGTCCCTTTCCCACCTCAAGGATGTTTCACACAAAAAGGCTATTGGTTTGGCTTGAAACCCTCTGAGGAAATAGCGTGGAGGTGGAGGCAGGCTGGCACTGAAGGCCTATCCTCTATGAGCTACCCTGTGCCTTGTGTCCCCAGGGGCAATTTACCACTTCACTGCCTCCGAGAGAGCACAAGAGGCTCCCACACATATGGAGTGGAGCAGGGATTGTTATGTGGTCCCACGGGGAGGAAGAGGCACCATGCTTTGCTGATCAAATCCGTCAAAGCAGTCAAAAGTCCAGAGGATCGAAGCCCAATTGGCCAGAAGAACAGCTTTGGAAATATCGATCTACTCAAGGGCTGTGGGAAAGCCAGGGTAGTGGCAGGCTGAGTAGGGCAACACCTCTGAAACATGGGCAACAGTGACTTGGGTAAAAGCATGGAAGTGAACAGCTGATAAGGCCACTGTTACTGCTACCACCTCCTGGTATCTATGCTTGGGCAGACATTAGGCAGTGGGAACTGAAAAACTGAGGGTTGGAGAGCACTGTGGACAAAACAGGACATAGCAGAAAAGAGAGAACACTCAAAAAACTTCCTTGTCCTACTGGCCTTGAATGTTCTGTGCCAGGCAAAGAACTTTGGAGCATGGGTAGGGTTCCTGAGAACAGTTGGTGAACAGAGATGGGGTGCGATGGGCACTGCTCCCATAGGCAACACTGGGCTGAGGACACTAGCAGTGCTACATCTTCCGGATTGCTGAAGAGCAGGTGAAGAAGGGGCTTTATTGCACTTTCTCATTCTTAGGAAACATGGCTGCCCTGCAGAGGGTCTCTTGATTTGCAGAAAACACTGCACATCAATGATAAGGTACAGGTAGAATCACAGATCACCTCTGCTCTCCAAAGAAAAATAAAAGTCCACCAGCAGGGCTTTTCAGGGCCGGCTTCTGTACTGGGATCCTTGGGTTGGATGGACTATGTCTGGCCAGGTCACTGTGTGGCAGGCAGAATAGCTAACTGGCAGATACCTTGGAAAGGTTCTGTACCCAGAAGAGTTGGGGCAAACTTTCCCAACAGGGAAACTTCTTGGCCAACATGTAAGCTCCATAAAGAGGCTGGAGCCACAATACTCAAACTCCAATGTGCCTGACTCCTTTTCTCCTACTCCCATCTCAGAATACCCAGGAGCAAAGATGCTAAGCTGACCTGGGAGGATCCCGCTCGATAGCATCAAACTGGAGAAAACAAAAGGATCTAAGGGGTTGGAAAACAAAAGAGCAGTTTACATCAGACATTGATTTTTGAAAGTCTTTTTTAGCTCAGGAAACTGGAGGCAGATACCATGCAGAAAGCTCAGCCTGGCTGTCTGTCCATTGGTCTATCCTGAGCAGTTCTGAACATTTCATATATAAATGGGGTGGTACCGTTTATGGTTGATCTTTTTCCTACAAGTTGGGCAAGTGTTAGCATTCTTAAGGGAATCACGGAGGCACTGGCTACAGAAGACGTGGCCACATTCTGTAGAAACAATGAGGCGCCCATTCTGTACAATCTAGAAGACATTAAAAGGAACAGCCTTAAAGTATCCCTTGACACCAAGAACCTTAATAAAATCATCACTGAGACCAGTGAAAACAAAGGGGCAGGGTCTATACAACAATCTCCAGAAGCAAATGCTGCCTCTGTGGAACAAACTGTAGACAGGACAGAATTTTCTCAGTTGTAGTAGTACAAAGGGGTTATAGGCAACCTCAGCAAAAATCAGTAGTTTCTAGTTAAGGTTACAGCAGGAAACTTGAATTTGCAGAGGCTAAAGATGAAATGCACAGGGACCATGATCAACTAGCACAATCTCCTTTGTAATTAGTCTTTGTGACAGTTAGGTGTCAAATCCTACATGAGGCACAGATCCTTCAAGTTCTTTTTAGTGAAATAGGTTAAAACCAAAGGAGATAGGTTACTTACCTCAGAGTATCCATCCATGCAGATTGGACAACTGACAGTACCTGAGGGCCTAAAATCACAAGTACTTCACATCAGTGAACTCAAATACTTGATTATACCTTATAAAGTAGCTTCATATATGAAGGCCCTATCTTATAACAAATCTCTCCTCTCACTTCTGAGTTAGGACAGGCATACAAAAAACCTTGAAAATAAATTGTCTGAAGTATTGGGCTGGAATGGGCATGAAAAGGGAGATGGTAGAGAACAGGTCTAGAAGAAAAGATGCAGACAACTAGGCTCACCCACCTGCTTCACCTCCAGCATTACTGCTAGTGGTACCTATAATACAATCCGCTTACACCCAACCTATCAGGGACTGGCATACCCTGGTTACTGTGTGCATGTCTGTCTCCTGATTCAACTGTCTGTTCATTGGCCTATTCTGAGCAGACAGCTGAGCCCTGTATATTCCACACATGCCTAGCTGCTTTGCAGATCCTTGTTCTAGAGCTGACAAGCATGGCATCTGTATACCCTGGCCTCCACCCAACACAACAGCAGTAGAGCACATTACCTGAGTCCTGTAGCTCCTTCATCCCTGGCGCTTCGAGGAGTATGGGTAGTCACATATACATCTCTGTCCCTAGACAGTTCCTCATCATCACTGCTCACCACACAGCTGTCAGCATGATCTTGGCGTAACCTCCTCCCATTTCTTCTTGGCCTTCTCCTTTCTAAGAAAAAAGTCACATTTTCAGCCCTAGCGTCTCAAAACCCTCCCTCCCCTTGAGACTTCCAGAGAGAAACCATCACCATACTAGTTCTATCCCACACCCCCAGAAGGTCCTGCCTAGGGGCAGAAGCTTTCAGTAAAACCAACAGGTTTGACCAAAGGCAACATCCTTCCTAGAGATCTTGGAAGGGCAGTCTGACAAAGCCTGCAGGCTATGGCATTCATTCACCATAATTTCCTTCAAACCCAGGAGAAAAGAAAATGAAACTACTCACCTTCAACAATCTGAAAAAGGGGGAAAGAGAGAGGAGTGTTATAAACATTCTGATCTTTTAACTGATATAATGCACACATCTTGTTTTCAATATTATATGACTCTCAAGAATATTGCTAGGCTTCCAGCCCTTCCTTTTTCCCAGGGAAAGAAACTGTATACTTTCCTAGACCAGCTACAGTCATCTCCAGGTCAACTGTCTTCTACGAGTCAATATGCTGAATCTTATCCAGTCTAAATATAACCACATTAGGACCTGTGCAAGACCTGAGGTTGGGTTGTTCTCTGGAGGAAGCTATATCCTGTTCACAAAAATAGAGGCCTAGCCTACCTCACAGGGCTGAGTCAGAAAACAACCAGCCAATCTCACTGCACCTACATGGCAACTGGCAATTATTTGTGTTACTTAATGTTATAAAAGATCAAGTTGGTATTATCTTGAGTCAGTCTTTTTAACAAGAACTAGATAAACACTCGGTGGCTCAGAATATATTCTTCCTTCCTTTGCACCACGCCAAGAGGCACCGTTTTAGAAAAGAGCAAACTGTGAATGCCCCAGTGTCTACTCCTGTGCCACCCTGTCATATCCTCCATCTGAATTCCTTTACAGCAAAAATTTTGGCCCAAGCCAATTGTAGTGGTGCATGCTTTTAATACCAAGCAATCAAGAGGCAGAGACAGGTAGATCTGAGTTTGAGGCCATCCTAGTCTACAGACCAAGTTCCAGGACAGCCAGGGCTACACAGAGGAACCATCTCAAGGTCCCAAGGTCAGTTACCATCTTCCGTGTGTTATTTGAGAAGGCTCAGTCTCTCTGAAAAAGGCAGCCCACACCATTATCTCCCTGGACTCAAAGATGCCACTGCAGGTGTAGATTCCACCTCCAGTTTTTCAGTCTAGAGCAGCAGATACACAAGCTGCCCCAGTAGTCTGACACTGGTTAGGTCTTAAGTTATTTCAGAATCAAGCCTGGAGCCTATTCTAGGCTTTTTATTGCCACCTAAGACCCCTCCCCCCCCACATTAAAACCCTTTTAAGTTTGATTTAGTTAATGATAGCCAAAGTAAATACGTCATCCACAACAAAAGTTAAGTCAAGAATAAGGTTAAGATTGAAAGTAAAGACAGAAGGCTCAGGAGTTCAAGGCCAGCCACATAAGGAGCTTGAGGCCAGTCCGGGTTACACAGAGATGCTGTCTCAACAAAACAAAACAAAAACAATCAGATACACTACCAACCCTTGAAGACTTTTGCCCCCAAAGACTAAAGACAGTGACCAGAAATGTGAAGATAGTCTCATCATCAGGTTAAAATTCTCTAGAAAACTGTAGGCTGGCACAATGTAAGTCTACCTAATTTTTTTCTAAGGCTCAGAAAAGAAAGAGCTAACAAAAGTGGGGCTCTTGGGGTATGCCCAGAATTTGGCTAGGAGTAGAGGCAATTCTACTGTGGATAAGACGATCTATAGCACCATCACTGGCCTCTCCACTCCTCAGTGTACTCAACTTGTCTGCTCTAATAGCTTTTGGTGGATCAGCAAGTTTTCCTCAATGATCCACCTCTTATTTTGCTCCAATAAGGAGTCTAAGGTCAACCTGAAAACAGGTCAGGATACCTAGCATATAAGCTTGTTCATGTCTTTAGTTAATATTAATAATTTAATGGCCTTTGATGATTCATTACAATCAACAACAAATGGAGAGTGTTTGGGAAAAAGAGTTACTAAATCCAGATAATTCTTTATAATAGCTAGGTCAGCATGAGGTAATTTCTGCAGTAAATCCAACAGTAACTCTGAGGCAGGAACCCAAGCCTCCTGTCTCCACACTACTATCACTGGACTTTTTATCAACTTCTTCTCATTCAGTCACTATCAGGACATTTCTCTCATTCCCACTATTCCTATTCCAGGTTCATTCAAGGACTCTACTCACTGCCATGGGAACAAAGGCATGGAAGGGGAAATGTCGACTTGTCACCCAGCAGAAAACAGGGTCTTCTTGGAGGTAAAAATCCCAACTCCTATGTCAGGACCTGGCCAGATCCATTATGGGTAATGTTGAGTTCTCAAGAAAAGAGATTTGGAGAGGCAGCCAGATCTCTGAGTTCAAGGCCAACCTGGTCTCTCTCTCTTTCTCTCATATTGTTGGTATTCTTTTACTCTAGCCCCACACTGGGTGCCAAAATGCAATTGATTATTTTACTCTTTTGGTTTTTTTTGGTGGTGGGGCCACCACCCAGTTCCCAAATTAATCACATATGGAATCTTATTCTTTCTTATAAAGGCCCGGCCTTAGCTTGATTTGTTTCTAGCCAGCTTTTCCTGTCTTAAATTATCCCATCTATCTTTTGCCTCTGGGCTTTTATCTTTCTCTATTTCTGTATACCTTTCTTTACTTCTTTCTCCATGGCTTGCTGTGTAGTTGGCTGGCTGGCTCCTGATGTCCTCCTCTCCTTGTTCTATCTTGCTCCTCTTTCTCTTCCACACTTCTCCATCTATTTATACTCTCTGCCCCCCAGCCCCGCCTATCCTTTCTCCTGCCTCATACTGGCCATTCAACTCTTTATTAGGCCATCAGGTGTTTTAGACAGGCAAAGAATCACAGCTTCACAGTTAAAAAAAAATATAGCATAAAAGAATGCAACACAACTGGGCAGTGGTGGCGCATGCCTTTAATCCCAGCACTCAGGAGGAAGAGGCAGGTGGATCTCTGTAAGTTCGAGGCCAGCCTGGTCTACAAGAGCTAGTTCCAGGACAGGCTCCAAAAGCTACAGAGAAACCCTGTCTCGAAAAACAAAACAGAAAGAAAGAAGGAAGGAAGGAAGGAAGGAAGGAAGGAAGGAAGGAAGGAAGGAAGGAAGAAAGAAAGAAAGAAAGAAAGAAAGAAAGGGGATTAGGGATTTGGGGCTTTCTGAGCCCTTTCCCTGTTTACCAGTCTACATCCATCCTCAGGAATGCGAATTCCCTCAATAAACTGTGTCTATTTCTATTACCTTGAGATAGGGGAAGAGAGAGGAAGAAAAAGAATTTGGTACCAATTTCCAGAATTAGTCAAAAACTGGAATGTAGCTTTAGCTAAGGGACTAAATTACCCTCTTTATTGAACTCCAGGAATTGACAGGAACAGCAAGAGTCAGTGCTTTCTCAGAGGAGACCACTTACAATTAAACGTGTTCCTGTTTATCTCAAACAGTTCCAGCCCATTTCCAGAAACACCATTGGTTATGTGGGGGCCAATATGCCTGAATCCACCATATTCTTTGAGAGGATACCAGAGATGACATCAGGACAACTTGGTGATTTCTAACTAAAACCATACAGCTGTGGAAAATCCCTTTGTAGACTGTCAAGATTTGCACAGTGATTTGTTTAATAAACAAGCTGACTGGCTAATAGCTGAGCAGGATTAAGTTAGGAGCCAGATTAGGAGAATGCTGGGAGGAAGAAGGGTGAAGATGGAGATGCCAGTCAGCCATGGGGCAAGCAGGACATGTAGAAAATGAAGTAACAAGCCATAGTCACGTGGCAAAGCATAAACAGAAATATGAGTTAAGTCTAAGAGTTAGCTAGTCACAAGCCTGAGCTATCAGTTGAGCATTTGTAAGTAATATAAAGTCTCTGAGTAGTTATTCCCTGGCAGCTTCAATCCATCATTTTCCTTCCTTGAGACTAAACTTAACTATGTAAGTCAGGAACACTGCCTTTCAAGTGCTCAAGATCACAGGCATACACCACAGTACCTGGCTACCCATTCCTTCATCTTGCTTTTGCTGTTGTTTCTCAAATCAGAGTTTCTCTGTGTAGCTCTAACTATTCTGGAACTCCTTTTGTTTTTTTGTAGATTAGGCTGACCTTGAACTAACAAGAGATCAGCCGGTCTCTGCCTCTTGCCATACCCAGCTTTTGTCTTGCTTCTCAGTAAAACCTTTCTCTCAAAGTTGTAAACAAATTAGGAAACACTCATCTGTCTTTGTTTTGGCAGCTTGTTGCTAGTCACTCAGAATTTCAAACCTTTGAGACAAGTGGAAGACTAGATTACTAAAACCTCGGTTCCACGTCTACAGTCCTTTCTGAGTACCAACTGCTAACACGCATCGAATGCTACCCAAGACGGTAATAACTCTATTCCACAGCTTCAGTCCTGGCATACTGTCATCAAAAGGTTTTTCAAGTGAGTAGCACACTTGTCCTTAAGATGTTCATCAATGAGTTGATCAGATCCCAAAAGACACATGGAAATGGGGTATATGCATGTGTGCAGAGGTGTTCCAATACCATGGAACATGTCTTTCAGAATTAATTTCTTTCTAAGTCTTGACCAGACTAGGCCTTAGCCCTGGCAGGCTATACATGGAGTTCTACCCTCCCTGGAGTCAGGAAAGAGCTGTGGCAGCAGGTGTTAGACTAGGTAGCTGCTTTCCCTGGAGCAATGTTTACTGGCAACTATTTCTGAAACCTAATGGCAGCAGTCAATATTCCCAATTCCCTTCAGGTTCAGAGGTGTAAACACACTGCCAAGACCTGCACTTCATGCAAGGCAAGGCACCTACACAGGTCTCTCTTAATACAATGTAGTACCAACCCCGACAAAGCTAGTATCCCATTTCAAAGGGCTATGTCTGAAACCATGAAATCGGGACTGCTGCTATGGAAAGGTCAAAAGTCAGGCAGATCTAGTCCACAGGAGACAAAAGTGACAACAGGTACTCTTCCTGACACATTTCTCATAGGGGTTCCAGTTACTGAATATAGGTTCCTTTCCCATCACAATTATTTCAAGTGTATGTGTGGTTTGCCTGCAGTGTATCTGATGCCAACAGAGCCCAGAAGAGGGCACTAGTACCTCGGAACTGGAGTTATAGCTGGCTGTGAGCTGCTCTGTAGGTTCTGGGAATTAAATCCAGGTCCCCTGGAAAAGCAGCCAGTGTTCTTAACCTCTGAGCTATCTCTTTAGCCCCTTTCACAATCTTTCTAACCCTGATCAGTAACCCAGACTTCAGATGCAGATATGGGCCAGGGACTCCTACCCAAACCAGCTAACTCTCATTCAAATGCTTACCACAACAGAGTCATTGTGAGTGAGGTCCACAACCACAGGCTCTAGAGATTCACAGGTGAGGTCCACGATTTCATCACCAGCTTCAAAATAAAGCAATTCAACAACAAGTATTAGGATAGGGCTACACTCCTAAGGCTTGGTTAACATTACAAACATGATATAAACTTGTGTCAAAGTGTGAAACCCTACACACACAATATAAAAACCATCAAGACTACCTTTTCAAAAATGACAACCAAGTGCCCCTCCAGCATTTTGTTAAGTGGGCTACATGAATTTCTTGAGGTTCCAGGTGTACATGTAGGGACAAACATCTGAGTGGTTTCACCCCGCCCACATGGTCATGCTTAGAAATCACAATTTCATTAATTAGGGAAGGCATGCAAAAACCATTTACAACTTTTTTCCCTGATTGCTATTAGCATTAAAAAAATATGAGGGTTAGATTTTATAAACAGTATGAATAACATATTCTCACTTGCTTTACCTTCTTGTATTTTCCAGTGCTAAGTGTGGTAGTACACACCTTTAAGACTAGCCCTTGGTAGGCAGACACAGATGGATCTCTGTGAGTTCAAAGCCTCACAAGTGCCTCATTGGAAGCAGCTGGATCTGTCTAAACCCTGAGACAGAGTCCATGTGCATGTTGAGTGTTACACTGAAGAAAAGGACCTTCTTTGGGTATAGAATTCTAAAGTCCTAATCTGTGGGTGAAAGTAAAGGTTCTAAAGAATTCACTGAGAAGCCAAACTGAGACCAAACAGAGAATGAACACTATATGGGAAGTCCAAGAAACCCATCTGATACAAAGTAGCTTCTTTTGAACTCTAAGATGGCTGAAAAGTTCCTATTCTGTGGCATACATATATTGTATAACCCCTTAAACATTTTTTTCTTTGCAGTAGTGGTAAGGGTTGAACAAGGGTCTTTTTTTAAATTTTTATTTTATTGATATTTATTGAGCTCTACATCTTACTCTGCTCCCCTCCCCCACTTCAACCCTTCTTCCCCAAGGTCCCCACGTTCCCAATTTACTCAGGAAATCTTGTCTTTTTCTGCTTTCTACTTCCCATGTAGATAAGATCTATATAAGTCTCTCTTACTGTCCTCACTGTTGTCCAAGTTCTCTGAGATTGTGGTTTGTAGGCTGGTTTTCTTTGCTTTATGTTTAAAAATCATCTATGAGTTAGTACATGTGATAATTATCTTTCTGGGTCTGGGTTACCTCACTCAAAATAATGGTTTCTAGCTCCATCCATTTTTCTGCAAAATTCAAGATGTCATTATTTTTTTCTGCTGTGTAGTGCTCCATTGTGTAAATGTACCACATTTTCCTTATCCATTCTTGGGAGGGACATTTAGGTTGTTTCCAGGTTCTGGCTACGACAAACAAAGCTGCTATGAACATAGTTGAGCGCATGTCCTTGTGGCACGATTGAGCATCCTTTGGATATATACCCAAAAGTGGTATTACTGGGTCTTGAGGAAGGTTGTTTCCTAATTTTCTGAGAAATCGCCACACTGACATCCAAAGGGGTTGTACCAGCTTGCATTCCCACCAGCAATGCAGCAATGTTTCCTTTTCCCCACAACCTCTCCAGCATAAGTTGTCATTAGTATTTTTGATCTTGGCCATTCTTACATGTGTAAGATGAAATCTCAGAGTTGTTTTGATTTGCATTTCTTTGATGACTAAGGATGCTGAACGTTTCCTTAAATGTCTTTCAGCCCTTTTAGATTCCTCTGCTGAGAGTTCTCTGTTTAGGTCTGTACTCCATTTTTTAAATTGGATTATGTGATCTTTTGGTGACCAATTTCTTGAGTTCTTTGTATATTTTGGAGATCAGACCTCTGTCTGATGTGGGGTTAGTGAAGATCTTTTCCCACTCTATAGGCTGCCGTTTTGTCTTGTTGACCATGTCCTTTGCTTTACAGAAGCTTTTCAGTTTCAGGAGGTCCCATTTATTAATTGTTTCTCTTGGTGTCTGTGCTGCTGGGGTTATATTTAGGATGTGGTCTCCAGTGCCAATGTGTTCAAGTGTATTTCCCACTTTCTCTTCTATAAGGTTCAGTGTGGCTGGCTTTATGTTGAAGTCTTTGATCCAATTGGACTTGAGTTTTGTGCACGGTGATAGATACGCGTCTATTTTCATTCTTCTGCATGTTGATATCGAGTTATGCCAGCACCATTTATTAAATATACTTTCTTTTTTCCATTCGATATTTTTTGCTTCCTTGTCAAAAATAAGGTGTTTGAAGATGTGTGGATTGATATCTGGGTCTTCTATTCAGTTCCATTGGTCCTCCTGTCTGTTCTTATGACAATACCAGGCTGTTTTCAGTATTATAGCTTTGTACTAGAGTTTGAAGTCAGGGATTGTGATGCCCCCAAAACGAACAAGGGTCTTACACATTAAACAAGTGCTTTGCCATACCGAGCTATGTACATAGCCCACTGCACTTTTCTTTAAATTATCAGTTCTTAGACCTGGGCAGTATTGGCACATACTTTTAATTCAGGAGGCAGAAGCAGGTGGATTTTCTGTGAGTTTGAGGCTGGCCTGGTGTACAGGGTGAGTTTTAGGACAGGCAGGCCTATTACACAAAGAAACTCTGTCTTGAAAAACAAAAAACAAAAACAAACAAACAAAAGCCATTTAAAATATCAGTTCTTGGCTGGGCAGTGGTGGCACATGCCTTCAATCCCCAACACTTTGGAGGCAGAGACAGGTGGATCTTCAGTGAGCTCGAGGCCAGCCTAGTCTACAAAGTGAGTTCCAGGACAGCCAGAACTGTTTCACAGAGAAACCTATTTCAATAAATCAAAAATTAAAGAAAAAAAAATCAGTTCTTGGGTATGATGTATAAAAGATAACAAAGCAAATTGGCTTATCTAAAACATCTAACACTTTCCTGAGCAGGTAAGAGAAAATCCAATCTGGCCTCTTCTCAAACCAAGCTTTAATAATGATAGCTGTGTTGACAAGTTTGTCTTAATGAAAACCAGAAAAAGAAACTCAAGTATTTCACAAAGCTAAGCAGGGTGAAGTAGATGAGCCAAGTGGTTGCTTCAAAATTCATGCAGATACCATAATATCAAAGGGGGCAGCTTTACTCATTGTAGCTATAAGCTGTATAGGTAAGTCTAAGATTATACATACATATAAAGCAAGAGCAAGAGCTTTCAACAGCTAACATTTGTATGGTTCCATCTGCCACACATGGGTCCCAAGGGTTTTATGGCATAAATTCAATTTGCCCTATATACTAACATTATTCCCCACCACAGAGGAAGAGACAGAAGCTCAGCTGTGACCTGGGGTTAGAGGCTATGATTATTTACTGCTCCAGTAAAAGACTCAAGTTAAATTCCCAACACCCACAAGGCAGCTCACAACCATTTGTAACTCAAGCTCTAGGGAATACAATGACTTTTTCCTGGCCTCTATGGGCACCAGGCACACATGTAGTACACAGACATACATGCAAGCAAAACAATTATACACATAAAATGGGGGGGGATGACTTCATCAGGCATCACAGTGGGCATTAAAAGATACAGACTGGGTCCAATTCACTTATTTACCCACTACATCACACTGTTGCGCATTACAGTCCAGTATTCCTGGCTCTTACCAGTTTCCACGAGTTCTATGGGTTCTGTTTCCAAGGAAATCTCAGGGGTTGAAGTTGTTTCCCGAGTTCGCTTCTGGGCTTGTCTAGAACTTACTGTTCCACCACGCCGCTTTCTTTGAGGATTTCTCTAAGGTCATCAAAGGGGGAAAGAAGCAGTTACATGAGTTCCAGATTTTTTTTTTTAAAAAAGACTTATTTATTTATTTATTATGTATAATAATAACATTCTGCCTGCATATATGCCCGCACGCCAGAAGAGGGTGCCAGATCTCATTACAGATGGTTGTGAGCCACCGTATGGTTGCTGGGAATTGAACTCAGGACCTCTGGAAGAGCAGCCAGTGCTCTTAACCACTGAGCCATCTCTCCGGCCCACGAGTTCCAGATTTGACAGGGTTTCAGGAAGAGTAAAAAGACAACAAACGGGAATGGTTTAACTTGGTTGTCCTCTTGTGTGCAACACACACACACACAGCATGTGTACCCCACCCACTACAAAACTTGCAGCACCTCTGAAGCACAGGGAGAAATATTCAGTACTTTGTTGTTTCACCTGATAAAAGGTCTTGCTGTGTAGTCCTGGCTATTCCAGAACTCAAGAGATATGCCTGTATCTGCCACGAGGGTGCAAGGATATAGATCTGTATTGCCATATCAGCTCTTTGTATCACCAAACAAATCCAACTATGGTTTACAATCCCAAGTATGGTCACATAACTGAATGGGGAAGGAGGTCACATTAACTGAATAGGCTGTGCAAGAAATTTTTGCAATAACAAAATGTTTTCTGAACCTACAAAGATCAAAAATTAATTTAAAACCAACACATCAAGAACTGATTCTTCTCATATTACCGGCCCATGTTGCACCATATGACTTCATTATAGCTTTGTTTCTGAACACCCAACTCAACACAATGTAACACCACACAATGCAAACACCGCCTACAATACCTCCATTTAGATTCAAGATTACTGTTATATTAGGAATTAGTGCTTTTACTGCACATGTATTTTTTATTCTTACAGAAACAGAATGGTTAATTATAAACAAGACTTGTAGTATCTTCCTACCATTATTCTTCAGCATATAATTATCAAACTGGTACATCCTTTGATTACATTGCTCTAGTATGTTTAATATTTTTTGTTTTTCTTGAGACACGGTTTCTCTATGTAACAGTCCTAGCCTCCCGGGAACTTGCTTTGTAGACCAGGTTGGCCTTGAACTCAGAGATCCTCCTGCCTTTTCCTCCTGAGTGCTGAGACTAAAAGACATGCACTACCACCAGTATGTTTCATTTTTTAAAAATTGTTTTCCAGGTATGGTAGCACACGCCTTTAGAATTCCAGAGCCAGGTGGATCTTTGAGTTCCAGGCTAGCCAAGGATACAAGAAGACCTTGCCTCAAAAATAAAGTTCAAAAAAAAATTAAGTCTGTGTAAATTAATCTGAGTTTCAGAAAAAAAAGATATAATCAATTTTGGTTTGGGATTAGAATAGAATTTCCAATGTTTCTGAAATGACCTTAAATATTACACATTTATTTGAAGTGGTATTCTTAGCAAATGATCATAAAATCAAAATACTAGCTGGGCAGGCTAACACATGCCTTTAATCACAAGCACCAAGAAAGCAGAGCTAAAAAAATATCAAAGATGTTATAACACACACCATTCTGTCAATTTTTAATTTTTTTCTTTGCTTTTTGAGAAAGGGTTTTTCTATGTAGCCCTAGCTATTTTGTAACTTGTTCTGTAGACTAGGCTGGCTTCAAACTCAGAGATAAGCCTGCGTCTGCCTACCACGCTCTGGGATTAAAGGTGTACACCAACATGCCCAGCTAATTCTCTAATTTTTTTTCTTTAAACATTTATTGTGTGCATGCATGTACTCGTGCTTCTATGCTTACATGAAGTAGGAGGACAGCTTCTGGCAACTGATTCTCTCCTTCAACTCCATAGGGCCTGAGGATCTAGCTCGGGCTGTTAGGCTTATTGGTAAGCCCCTTACCTGATGATCCACCTTGCCAGACTATCTATTTCATTAACATAATTTACTTTCATCTTCATAAACAGTAAAATTATGTTCATGTACCAAATATTTTTTTAAAGTAAATATGATTTATCAACAAATACTTAATCTGCACATACATCTACATTATTACCCGAGGTCATAAAAATTCCCCTGAAGAGAAAAGTTATAAGCAGAAAGTTTAGGATACCTTACTCTAGAGTCCAACCTGTGTGTTTTGCACTGAAACAGAGCTGACTCCCAGACAAGAGCAAAAGAGAAAATAGCTATTTTTTCATTTTACATACAGGAATATTTTGCCAGCATGCATGTCTGTGTACCATTTCCTTCCTGTGAAGGTCAGAAGAAGGCACAAGATCTTCCGAATTGGAGTTCTGAGCTGCCATGTGAGTGCTGGGAATTGGAACCCAGTCCTCTGAAGGAACAGCAAGTGCTCTTAGTTTCTGAGCCATGTCCCTAGACCCCGTTTTGTTTTTTGTTTGTTTGTTTGTTTGGTTTTTTTTTTTTTTGAGACAGGGTTTCTCTGTGTACCTCTGGCTATCCTAGAACTAACTCATTCTATAGACCAGGCTGGCCTCCAACTCAAGAGATCCACCTGCCTCTGCTTCTGAGTGTTGGAATTAAAGGCACGCACCACCACCACCTAACCCTAAATCTAGTTTTAAAATTATGTTTAAATCTTTTTTAGTGTGATCAATATATGCCATAACATGAGTGGAAGTCAGAGGTCAACTTAGAGGAGTCAGTTCTCTCTGTTTACCATGTGGGTTCTGGGATTCAAACTTGTCAGAAAGGGCCTTAATCAACTGAATCCATTCCACAGAACTGTAAATAATAGTTATTACATTTGTAAATGCCAGAAGTCTTTGTCACTCTCTACTCCCCCTTTTAAATGCCTGAGTGCCTGTGTGTGTATATACATACATACATCATACATACATACATATACATATGTATATATTTATATAGTATATGCACACACACACACACACACACACACACACACACCATATTCATGCCTGGTGGCCACAAAGACCAGTAGAAGGTGATAGATGACTGGATCTAGAATTACATGAGGTATGAGTCACTTGACACGCGTGCTGAAAAACAAAAGCTGGAGTCCCCTGGAAGAGTAATATGTGTTTCCTATCCACCAATTCATCTCTCTAGCCCTTAGTTTTTAAGATCACATCTCTCATTAAACTGGTGTTTGTTTCTCCAAGATTGGTTGACCAAAAGTATGCCCTTGTGATCAAGCCCTCTTCTTTAAGTACTAAAGATGTATGCTACCCTGCCCAGCTTTTATATGGGTGATGGATGGGGACCCAACTTGGGTCCTTCTTCTCACACATGAAGCAGTTTATTCACTGAGCCATCTCTCCAGCCTTAGAATTTGATCTCACTATATAGTTGAGTATGGCACTGAACTTAAATTTCTGATCATCCTGTCACCATCTATCAATGGATTATAGATGCATTTGCTATTTACTTGGATTATATGTAGGCATATACAACAACACAGATTTTTTTCAGCACTGCTGGAAATGTAACAAAGAGTCTTTTGCATAAGCAAGAGGCACATCCTCAGCTGTTTTCATTTATTTTATTTTAAGAGACAGTATCTGTATAATCCAGACTACCCTCAATTTTCAGTCTTTGTATTTTAACTTCCAATATCTAGAATTAGAGCCCAGTGCTATAACATGTGGCTTACAGTCCTCTCTAAGAGACAGAGTAGCTAACTAATATTGGTAATAAAATTTACAAGCCAAGAAAACTTACTGTACTCATTGTGCTCTCTGGCTTCAATCCACAGAAAAGTAAGTGATATACACCAAGGTTTATTGGGAGGCTGAAAGTTCTCAATCTTTCATGCCCTGTGAGTACTCATCCTGTGGCTTACAATTTGGAGTCAATTAGATGTCCAATATTTCCAAGTTCTGAAAAAGAAAGAAACCAATAAATGTTGCTATTTGCATTGCTGAAGACAAAGTTCACACATGTACATATCTCAATACACAGAAAATTTACCAGTCTTTTCTGATCACCTGAATGTTTTGCCGAACATCTTATGTAATTTTAGGAATTCATTTTAGGAATCTTGTTGAATACAGAACTGACTATGTAATCCCAAAATCTACTACCCAAACTATTAAACCATCTTCTGCCCGTGCTCCTTTTTGGTGCTTGGGATCAAATGGAAGGCTTACTATATTCTATGAGTGGGCTATACTCCTGCAGCCTTCCCTGAGTTTTTTGGTTGCTTCAAATGTAGCAAAAATGATTAACTCTAGGTGAAAGACAAGTTTTAGTTGCTTAACTGGAATACATACACCAACTCCTTAGCAGGAGAAAAGGAACCATTTCCTAAACCAAGCAGTTTCCTTCTTGTCCTCTTGTTACTTCACTACCCTTCCAAGGATCTGAGGGACTAAGGAGATGATAGCCAGCTTTTGCAAGTTTCCCAACATACGGTTCAGATCACAGAAGAGTCCCAGATCCACTGTAATTGCTGGATTCCCATGCACTTATACTCCTGGTTTTAGGAAGTCTCTCTCTCTCCCTCGTGTGTGTGTATGTGTGTGTGTGTTTTGAGACAATGCTTTGCTGTAGCTTTGGAGCCTGTCCTGGTACTAGCTCTTGTAGACCAGGCTGGCCTCACACTCACAGAGATCTGCCTGCCTCTGCTTCCTGAGTGCTGGAATTAAAGGCTTGCCCCACTAACAACCAGCTAGTTAGTATCTTATATATGAGCACACATCCATGAAATGTGTGATGCTCCCCACCCCGCAAACTACCTCAAGGGCACATCCTAATTCAGAAGAGCCAGGCAGTGGTGGCACATGCCCTTAATCCCAGCACTCAGGAGGCACAGATATGTGAACCTCTGTGAGTTTGAGGCCAGCCTTGTCTACAGAGCAAGTTCCAGGTGAGTCAGGGATTCGTACACAAAGAAACCATGTCTCAAAAAAAAAAAAAAAACAAACAAAAAACAAAAACCAACCCTGCCCCACATGTATCTTTGGATTAGAGAGCCTGTTGTGAAAGCAAGAGGACCCAAGTTAAACTTTGACAGCACCCACAGAAAAGCCAGGCGAGGCAGCATGCCAGGAACCTCAGCATCTGACTGGCTCAGCTCAGCTTAGAGACAGTTTCAGATTTAGTTAAGACTCAGTTTCAAAAAATAAGGTAGATAGCAATACAGGAAGACACTTGATGTCCTTTTCTGGCTTCTACATGGGCAAAGACATACACATCCCACACATGAAGAAGGGGAGAAAGACCTGTCTGTTGAGATCTGAGAAATGTGACAGGCATATTTTGACGGTTCCATTAGTCTCTCTTGTAAGGTTACTGGATATATTAAGTCGGTTGTCTGAAAACCTTAGGCTGTTCCTCTCTATTCTTATAATGCAATGCTAAAATTGGCTCTCCATGATATATCCTCTGACTGGATTTGAGTATCTCTGACCTGTTTTAATAGATTTATCTAAGGCTTGTATCTTTGCACTCAGCTTAACCTGCATTTTTAGTAATATGACAAAAATGATAAAGCTAATGTTTTGACATTACATAAATCCCATCTAAATTAGATATCCTCTCATTTAATCATCCCATTTTCAAAATGTCTAGCATATTATCAAACAGAGACCCAAATCCCTTCATTGTAATGGTTCTTCCAGCCTAACCAGACTTGAGACAAGTCCTGCACTTTCCCATTACTCAGAGACTGGACAACAAATGATAGTTACCTCTCCCAGGACTTGACAAATCAACCCAAAGTTTTCTCTTCAGGATACCCTAAAGATCCCCCCCCCCCCAGATAGCAGGAAGTAACTTTAAGAATGATACCAGGGCAGGAGTGACTCATGCCTTTAATCCCAGCACTCGGAAGGCAGAGGTAGGAGGATCTCTGAGTTTGAGGCTAGCCTGGTCTACAAGAGCTAGGGCCAGGACAGGCTCCAAAGTTACAGCAAAACCTTATCTCAAAACACACACACACACACACGAAAGAGAGAGAGAGACAGAGAGACAGAGAGAGAGACTGAGACTTCCTAAAACCAGAAGTGTAAGTGCATGGGAATCCAGCAATTACAGTGAGTCTGGGACGCTTCTGTAAGTTCAAGACCAGCCTGGTCTACGGAGTGGGTTCCAGGACATGCTTCAAAGCTATAGAGAAACCCTATTTCTAAAAACCAAAAAATATAGCACCCACATTCCTAAGAGATGGGGTGGGTGGTTTTTGGTTGTTCAATGGGTTATGAATATGTCATTGTTTAGGGAGGTTGGTTATTGGTAATGGTCAGGAAAAAAGCTAAACAAAGGAAATTAGATTCAAGGTTCTTGTTTTGAAAAGAAAAAAGGGGGCTATAGTTATAATAGAATAAAAAGGTACATTACTGAATGTACTTTTAAAAAGCAACTACTAGTTTTAAATGTTTTACATTGGATTTGACTTTTGTGTATTGTATACAAAGTTTGTATACTGATACAAATCTGAAATTAATTTTGTTAGAACATACTGTACATACAGCTCTAATCTTGTTCAAAGTATTATACCTACACAGTTCATTTAACAATGTAATGCAAATTTCTAGTCCTTGAAAATTATTATTACCAACTGTTTAGGAGAAGGAAATGCAGGTTAGTACTTAGTCACCAATTACAATCAAATTTGTAGTCACATTAGGTATGTTTTCAAGGTCAAATGGATATATTTTAAATAGACGGGTCATCTTCAAGCACTTCAGAGATCTACAGAATATGGCATTTAAGATGTTTTAATAACAGGTCCATTTTTTTTTATGACAATGAGATATCTGGGAGCACCAATCTACTTCAGAGAAGATGATGGGGAAAGAAACTCCATATAGAGTTTATTTTCTTTGTGGCAAATGTAAGCTGCTGGGCAAGAAAATGCCTTTGCCCCAACTGCTGATAGTATGCTGTCCTAATTGGTTAAGCAGGACAGAAAAGAAAGTGACTGCCAAACATTGTAAAGACAAGGATGGAGAGTCCTTCAGAATGTTCAGCTTCACAGAAAAGTCTGTCAGACGTGCTAGGGCTGTAGGCAGAAGATGGATGCCCCAACGTTGCTGTTTTGGTGACTGTGCAGATAGCCAGCTGTTTCTGTCATTTCTCACATTTGGAAGTTGCTCGCTTGCACTTCCTATTTACTCAGTTAATATTATTTCCTTCTTGGGTCTCTAGACCCAAGGGAGTTGAAGACTAGACAGTTATAGTTTTCCTTGTTTACTAGATGCAGAAAACAAGTTATGATAAAAAAGTAAAGTATACTAGGTACAAGACCTTGGACTCACAAGATAGAATAGATATGGAGTATCTTCTCTGAGTTTGTCAAAGGCAAATGAATTAGACATTGTTGATGTATCTACTGCCTATATATATTGTATAGTTGTACTTATTGTATATAGTTTCTTATATTATTTATAACCTTATTTAATTTTAGACAAAAAAGAAAAAATGTAGTGATATTTCATTTATATTTTTAATAAATAAAGTTTGCCTGAAGAACAGAAGGCAAAACAGCCACACTAGTAAGCCATACAGGCCAGGTGGTAGTGTCGTACACCTCTAATTCCAGCACTAGGGAGGAATATAAAGTGGGACGAGATGGGAGCTTGCTCTTTCAGTTTGAAGATTTCAAAGAGGTAAGAGCTCTCTAGTAGCCTGGCTGCTTTTGCTTTGCTTTTTATTGAACCCCAATATCTGTCTCTGGGTTTTTATTATTTGTGCTACATAATTGAATAAGCCTAAATGTAAATCAAACATTTAACACAGACCCTGCATTTAGTATACTTGGCAAACGAAAATAAGGTTACCATTTTTCTTCCCAATGAAACTGTATTCAAATTACATGGTTCATTAGATGCTTAGAAGAAATGACATAACAGAAAAATGGTGGGAAGAGTATTTTTATTTGAACCTAGGGCCTAGAACAAGCCAGACAAGGGATCTACCACTTCACTAAACATATCTCAGCTATATATGAGAACTTGGGTTCAGATCCCAGTATCCATTAAAAAGGTGAGGCACAGCAGAGTCCTCGCTGGAAAACCCTAAACTGTGTGTGTGTGTGTGTGTGTGCGTGCGCGCGTGCGCGTGGAGACCTGGTCTCCAGAAGTAAGGTGGAGAGTGATGGCACAACACTATTCTCTGCAAGCACATATACCCTTCTCCCACAGAGAGTGAGAATGAGACCCACTAACTTGCCCTGAACGCATTCCACAACCCAGTCACTTGTGAACCTTTTGCCTCGTCTGTTGAGTAGCTGGGATTACAGGCATAGGTCACTAGTTTTGCTGTATGGGGGCGGGGCCAGATCTAGCAGAAAATGGATCCTTTCACTATATGTAAAATTATAGTTATCTATCAGGTAAACAATGGGACTTGAGAGTAGGATTCTTACACGTTCTGATGTTACAAACCCATAATCTCAGTCACACCAGAAGCCAAGCCAGGACTACCAAGTTCAAGGCCTGTCAGGACAATCAAGTGAGTTCAAGGGCAGTCTAGGCAACTTAGCAAGACCCTGACTCAAAATAAAAACTAAAATAAGGAGTAACTCAGAAACCATAGCAGGTAAAACACTTGTCATATACAAGCCTTACAAAGTAATTCAATCTGAGTAACCACATACAGTGAAAGGACACAATGACTTCATAAACTTGTCTTCTTACTACCAAACACACATTACTGCACTGGGGTGTCACAGACCTTGGTCATATTCACGCAATAGTATTAGTAATAATAAATAAAAAAGACCAAAGATATAGCTCACTGATTGAGTAGCTGCCTAATGTGTGAGAACCTGGGTTCAATCTCCAATCCCAACAAATCAATACCGTCTGAGTGTTCACAATTGCAGCCAACACTACATAGTCAACAAGAAACCAATTTTCCTGTGTGTGTATGGGAGGGGAACCAAGTACACAAGCAAATAAGCAAAACCTAATCTGTTCCTGAGACGGTCTCCAAGTAGTCCAAGTCCAGTATAGAGCCCAAGATGATCTTAAATTCCTGATCCTTCTGCCTCTACCTCTGAAGAACTGGAATCACAGGCACTCTTCAAAGTATTTGGAAAATACTTATTAGGGGACCAAGGTAAAAAGAAAAATACTCATATTTGGGAACTATAAAAAATATAGTCAACTAGTCCCGCGATGTTAGCGCACATTTTTTTTTTAAAAGACAGGGTTTCTCTGTAGCTTTGAAGCCTATCCTGGAACTTACTTGGTACACCAGGCTCGCTTCAAACTCACAGAGATCCAAGATCCACCTGCCTCTGCCTCGCGAGTGCTGGGATTAAAGGCATTAGAGTTACCACCTCCCGGCTGCTAGGATACGTCTTTAACCCCAGAATTCGGGAAGCAGAGGCAGGCAGATCTCTGTGAGTTCGCGGCCAATCTGGTCTACAAAACGAGTTCCAGGTCAGCCAATAAAGACTACACAGCGAAACCCTGTCTCAAAATAAAAACAAACAAACAAACAAAAAGCCCCCAAAAAACAAACCAAAAAACCAACCCCGCCACTCCCCAATGGGAGTGTAAATAAAGGAAGCTTTTCAGAAAATTATAAACTCACATTAAGTAATAGAAAGGCCAGCAAGACATTTTCCCAATCATTTCATATCGAACTCACAGGTAAACCCGAACCCAATTGTTTCTCCATCCATTAAAAAAAAAAAAAGTACGGGGTGGGGGGTGTTTTCCCTCTCACCACTGTTAGGAACTACAGTCAATCTGCGTCCTACAGTAGGCTGAAAGACCTGTCACCCGCAACCACTTGGACAACCTAAACTGAGGCACCAGACAGCAGAACTGAAAGCTTGAAGCGCCCCAAGGCACAGACAAGTAAAAAACAAAAGCAGAAACGCCCAGATCTGGACACGTACTTCTCGAGGCAAAGAGTGGCTAATGGCGTCCACGGAAACAGTGTTTAGGGTTAAGGATCAGGTTGAATTTCCTATTCCTGTATACAGATGTGCCCGGGAGGGAAGAACCACAGAGGGTGCAGGGCTGGACCAAATCTCAATCGCACGCTTCACCAACTATAGCTAAGGCAGAAAACGGCTCCTGGAAGGCCAAACCCCATTCAGTTCCAAGGCCCACAAGCGTCCTCAACACTCTCCCGGCTTAGACAGGGCCCGCCACGCGGCTTGGGTGCCCCAGCAAACTCGCAGGCCCCAGGAAGGCGGGGCGGCGGCGCCAGCACACAATGGCTGCGTCGTCAACGGGGAACAAAAACCTTGCTCAAGTCCTCTCCGATCGGCCCGCTCAGTCAAAAAAAAAAAAAAAAAAGTGACCTTGGAAGGGGCCCTCCTTTCTTTGAATCTCAGTTTCCCTTTCCAGTTTGCAAAAAAGGTTCAGCCAGCCAAGCCGCGAGTGGGCGAACGGCGCCACAGATAGAGACTTCCCTAAATCCGACGCGACTGTCGCGTCGGGCTCCGACACCCGCGCGCTCTCCGGGGCCGAGGAGGCTGAGCGGACCCGACCCCGAGAGGCGCTGTCCCGGGCGGCCCGAATGAGCCGCGACTGGCGGCCCCCAACTCCGCTGTAGGCCGAGAAGCCACCCGTGCCCCAATCCCGCACTGCCCTGACTTGCCGCCTCCATCCCGCAAAGCCTGATCTTACTTGGAGTTGGTGCGATCAGGCAGACGCCACAGTCGACGAGCTCGAGCAAGGACGTACCACCGCCACCAGCCGCTAAGGAGACCCGCTCAAGCAGGACTCCACCGCCTCACGGAGACCCACTTCCGCTCGGCCGGCCCTGGCCCGCCCTTCCCAGTCCCCATTGGCTTCTACCGCCCTTACTCCCGAGCTCTACCGGTTTCGGAGGCTCGTTTGCAATTCTATTGGGTAAGAAAACTATCTATTACCTCTTTGAAATGAACCTTCTTCCGGCCACGCCCCCGCTTGCTCGCCTGAGTTTCCACTTCTCGCGAGAGCATCGCCGGTCGCGCTCCTCCCACGAGAACTTGGCGGAGTCGTTGCTGGGGCGTCGCGCGAGCCTGCCTACTGGCTTCTAGCTATCGACGCTTGGTTTTTAATCTAGTTAACAAGCGCTCTTTGCCACAGCTAACACTAAACAGTAATCCCCACCATTCATTCCATTCCCATCTCAGTTTCCTCGGTCGTTGATGAGACTTACGGGAGACTGGCCTAAGGGCCTAATTTCTTTGTGATCCATAACCAACCCCGACGGGATCCGTACCCTTCAAATGCCAGGCTCTGAGTGGGCGTGTCCGCCCGGGACTGTTCACACGGGTGCCATCGGGAGTCCCAGGGGCTCAGCCAGGGCTTCTGAGAGCTCTACCTGCAGGCTAGGTAGGGAAAAGAACCTCCAGCTAGATATTTTGTGCGCCAGAGGCGAGGCAAAGGAGAGATGTACACGCCCAGGAAGCTGCAGGCTAGCTGCTCAGTGTGTCTGGAGCAGAGGCGAGGGGTGAGCTCAGAAGGCAAACGTCCAAAGAGAACACACGTAATTACTGGGACCGTACTGTCTGTCCTACAGAAGAATGGCTTGAGAAGAACCGGCCCCGGAAAAGGTCTTGGCACACCTCAATGCTAGAGTCCCTCTTGCCTGATTCTGAAAACCAGCACCATGATTTTAGGCAAGTCTCACACCTACTAAAAGGGATTCATTTTACTGATTTCTGAGAAAAAAAATGTGAGGGCTAACTGTTAATGCAAGTGCATGCTAGGCCCTCCTGGAGTGCAGCAAAACAGAATTGTACTAGAAAAATAATGCTGCTTTTTTTTTTTTTTGAGCACCTGTCCCTGAGCTATGTTGTAGCACTGGTTCAGCAACTAGAAAATGACCAACTGATAGATAAATGGGGACCCTCAGGCTATATGAAGATTGTCCTAAACGTGGTTGAATTGTTTCTGTAGGGTGTATTCGACCTGGAAGGTTGATTCACTTATGAGAATGACAAAACAGATCAAAACGAACCGCTAATGTTTGTGTTATTACAATCCCTGAATTATATGGAATTATAAGGGAATTTATGATAAAGCATGTCTGATAGACACACATCTGATTCCAGTGTAAAATGTATGCTTGGATATTTTGAGCATTTTTCTCAAATGTTATAATTGGAATAAAGAGAATTTACAACTTTAAGAAAAATGTAGGCATTTCTTATGAAAAATTTTCAATACTTAATTAGGCATTTGAGATAAAAACAGGGCAGGGTGGTGGTGGTGCACGCCTTTAATCCCAGCACTCGGGAGGCAGAGGCAGGCGGATCTCTGTGAGTTCGAGGCCAGCCTGGTCTACAAGAGGTAGTTCCAGGACAGGCTCTAAAACTACAGAGAAACTCTGTCTCGAAAAACCAAAAAAAAAAAAAAAAATAGAGAGAGAGAGAGAGAGAGAGAGAGAGAGAGAGAGAGAGAGAGATAAAAACAGGAACAATAGGCTGGGCGGTGGGGCACGCCCCTTTAATCCAGCACTCTGGAGGCAGAGACAAGCAGGCAGACCTCTGTGAGTTCAAGGCCAGCCTGGTCTACCAGAGCTAGTTCTAGGACAGGCTCCAAAACTACAGAGAAACCCTGTCTCGGAAAAACCAAACCAAACCAAAACAAATAAAAACCAAACAAAACCAGGAACAATGTACCTTGCAAGTTAATGGGAGACCAAAACAGGATAAATAGGCCCTGTAGGTTAAGGGTCTGTTTGCAGTTAAGAATAAGTTCCTGTTGTCCTATGTTAAATTTTTGCAAGTTAAGGTTTCCATTTGTTGTGGTTTTCCAATTTAGCCCTTTTTATTGCTTCTTTGTGGATTCCACATCATGCTTCTTCACCCCACTCATCTCCCTGTCCCTTCCCATCCTCCTTCTACCCTTACAACCTCCCCCACCTCCCAGGATAAAACAAAATTTAAGAAGGGCAGTAGTGGTGGCATTAATCCCAGCAGTTTATCTATGTGATTTCAAGGCCAGTCTGGTCTATAGAGTCTAGTATAGACTCCAAAGCTTCACAGAGAAACCCTGTCTCAAAAACAACAACAAAACAAAACAAAAACCAAAAAAAAAAGAAGAAGAAGAAGAGAAAAGAAAAGAAAAAACCTCTCATCCTGCTAGCTGAAGTCACACCATGAGTCACATGGTATACCTTTTAGACCACATTACTTGAAGTGTTCATTGCAATGAGTTATTGGTCTGGTTCAAGGCCTCTGGTTTTTGCTATACTATAGATAATGGGCTCTCACTGGAGCGCTTCTTGGATATCCTGTTACCTTGAGTCATGGAGATCCTGCAACTTTAGGTCAGCAGGGCCAGATCTTTCCCATGCTCCAGCAGATTTTAGATGGGGTGGATGATGGGATGAGCCAACTCTTAATCCTGGTTCTGGGTGGTTGCTGGGTTGGTTGGCTTGCCAGCTCTCATCTTCAACACCAGCCTAAGGTCTCCAACATTGCACTGGCTAGCTCATACTATGTAGTAAGCAGCCATGGGGTGGGGTTTATGAGTTGCAGCAAGTAAGTAGCTTTCAATATCCTGGTGGGGGACAGAGGCTGGCCCACTCTGGACACCAGAGCCATCTCTATAGTGCTGTCCAGGTGAGGTGTAGGGGCAGTTCTTCAGAGTGTTGCAGCTGGTGAGAGACAGGGCCAGCTCTCTCACCTGCCACACGCTGCAAGGGAGTGCAGGGGACCTTCTCTCCTCTGCCCACACCACCATATGGCAGATGAGGGGCAGGGCCAGATCTCTCATGCTGATACTTGTCCTCTGGGATGGCACACCCACACCACATCAGCAGGGTCAGCTCTACCATGTTGCCTAGGTGAGGTGTAGGGCCTGCTCTCTTCCAAGCTGGGTCTCACTATGTAGTCTGGAACTCCATTTGTAGACCATGCTGGCCTCAAACTTCACAGAAATCTGCTTGCGTTCTCCTCCAAGTGCTGGGATTAAAGACAAGTGCCACACGAGCTGCCTTTATTTATTTTTTAATAAGTTTTATCACATTTATTGTGTATATGTACATGTACTTACTACAGAGCACATGTAGCAGTCAGAGGGCAACTTGTGTGAGCCACTTCTCTCCTATTCCTACATGAAAGGATCCCGAGGATCGAACTCAAGTCACCAGGCTTAGTGGCAAGCACCTTTACCTCCTGAGTCATCTGCCAGCTCTTGTTTGATTTTGAGACAGTCTCTCTCTCTCTCTCTCTCTCTCTCTCTCTCTCTCTCTCTCTGTCTCGTTAGACTGACATGGAGCTCACTATGTAGCCCAGGTCAGATTGAAATTTACCCACCCAAATGTTGAGATTATAGTGTGTGCACTGTGCCTGGCTTTTTGTAAATTTAATATGCTGAAGATGTAGTAGTAAAAGCCAAATACAAATATCACCATGCTCAGAAACTTCCCTCAAGTTTTCTCTAGACATCATTTGACAATGAACTTGCTGCCTCACAAACAGTGTCTCCTTCGGGCTTTAAACATCAGCTTGGAGAGAAAAGCTGGCATATCAGTGCTCCAATAGGTTCACACAGGGGAACCGGCCGACTATGATCTCCTTAGGCTTCACACTAGCTGCAGAGTGACTTATCTGTCCTTGCCCTGTTAAGAAGAGTCTTCTGTATGCAGGCAGGTCATCTCCAGAGGAGTTGTAATCAAGAAAGGTCCAGAAAGAGCATTCATAGCACTTTGTGGGCCTTAGATAGATCTCTGGCTGACCAGCTACCTTTGTTAAAGGATCCATATAGGGAATGGAAAGTAGGGGTCTCCAATATGAAGGCTCTGGCTGTCCCTACTGCTGCGATCAATTGGTTGCAGGATGGTCTAGGGTGGCCTGTCGGGGACTACAGGAGTCCTCTACATGCAGCCATCGCCAGGCCGCCTGATCATGTTCGCATGAGGCCAGGCAGGCTTTCAAGAGAGCAAGCATGATCTCGAGGCCACTTGATGACTGACTCTAAACTGGCGCACTGCTACTTCTGTATGGTATTAGACAAAGAAAGTTAGGTGGCCAGGCATGGTTCAGATGCTGAGGGGATAAACTGAAGGAACCCTGGCCAGTTTGAGCGTGGTGAGCATTGCTCTGGCATGTCTTGTCCCCCTTCCCCATTCCCTCTGCCTTACTAAAAAACACTAGATTTCATTCCTAAAGCTAGCCACCAAGGTCTATTCCTTTAATTGGCCATTTCCTCCTCCTGAGGCTGACTACCAAGGTCCAGCTCTCAACGTATTGAAATGCAGCAATCAAAAGCCCCCTTTGGCTCACCAAGTTAACATGCCCAATTAAAATTAAATACCTCATCCTAACATGGGGCTTCCCCTTGTATCTTTATAAACTGTCATTTTACTATGTGCGTCATCTGTCTCCCTTCTATCCAGAGGCAGTCCTTTGTCCTCCCTGTAGGGAAAAAGGGCCACCCAAAGAAACCCACCCTGGTTCTGAAACCAGAGTCAGTGAAAGAAATGCTTTAGCCCCAAACCGAGCCCCAAAGAAATGAATGGACCCTGACTCTAAAACCAGTGCCAAAGAAACACACTTTTTCCCTAGAATCAGAGTCAGTGAAACAAGTATCCCCTGGTCCCAAAACTAGAGCCAAAAAGCTTAAAATGGCCAGTGAAAGAAACACAGTTTGGCTCTGAGATCAGCCATCTCTGCCCCTGACAAACTAAACTGACCAATCACTGAGCAAGCAAAAAAACCCAAAAAACAAAAAACAAACAAACAAACAAACAAAAAAACAAACCAAACCCTCTTCTCCCTGGGAAAACACCACCCCTAAGAAGCCCTATATAAGCTCTTCTCCTGTTCAGGTTCTGGTTGTTCTTCTTCCACCCTGGTAGAGGCAGCCACTCTCCTGGATTCTTCCCTCCCAATAAATCTCTTGAACAAAGTTTGGGTGAAGATCTTCTTTTGTTGGAGCGGAGAGCCATAAGAGCGGGGCGGTAACACTTTTGCTGGGGA